GTGAAAATCTCCCAATTCCCTCTGATTTACCCAGGACAATGATTTAGAGCCCTGAGTAATCCTGACACCCCTGCGCTGGCAGGAATTTTGTCAGGGCCAAACCACGGCAGTCAGCAGCAGAGTTTGCACTCAGTGATGCATTTCCTGCGCTTCCCAACCCCTCTTCTCCTCTTCTCGGGCTGCCCCGGGCAGAATTTTGGGATGGATCGTGCAGGGAAAAGGCAGCGACAGCACTGTGGTGGCCTGATGAATCGATTATTTATTACTATTAAATATTGATTCTCAGCAGTGCTGGCAGGCGCTCCCTGCTCGCTGCTGGAACGGGGTTTTTACGAGTTAAATGTTGAATCTCATGAATTTTCATGTTTTGGCACTGACTGACATCCGCATGGTAACGCTGCCAGGGAGCTCTGTGCGCCTTTCACTAATGCAATTTTCTACCTGATGTGGCTCAAAAGCCCCGGAGTGAATGAGGATGATTTAACCCAGGGTTTTGCCCTCGCTTCACCACGGAAGCCGCCCCAAAAAGCCAAATTTAACAGAGTTTTCCTAAATTCTGTGAGCTGGCACACGACCCCTCAGCCTGGCAGAGCTGGACACTGCCTGACTCCGAGAAACAGATTGTGGATGATGGGCAAAAAAAAAAAAATGTGCAGGAGAAGATATGGCAGCGAGGAGAAGTACCTGAGAAATCTGTATTTCAGCAGAATTCAGTCACTCAAAATTAATTAGCACAATGACACATAAATGGGGAAGGAATTTCTGAGCAGTTTTGTGCTGTGGATCCAGCACTGGCACCAGAGGAGAATTATGAGGCAAAAGGAATCAGATCTCTGCATYGTGAAAGAAATAAATTCAGAATAAAYKTCTCTYTTWTTTTYTTTTTTGTTCTTTTTCCAAAATTAAATGATCCAAGGCAGCACTTTGCAGAAGGAGAATAAGGGATTTCAAAGTCTGCAGTAACATGAGAGAACACATCAATTTTTATGAAGAATTACAGCCTTTTCCTTTTGCTCATTATCTGTCACATTTCCTCACAGCTAGAACTCGTCCAAATTCACAATTCCCACCGCAAAAATCAGAAGGAAATGTCAAAAATGCATCTGACACCACAATAAAATGAGACACCGGAATGCCCAACAGCTTTTTGTGGAGATACCGGGTTTGAAATATTGCATTCCAGTAACCTCGGAGCACTTGAAAAGGTCAGCACCCTTCACGGTGATGTTATCATCTCCAAACTGCTCTGGAAAATCAAAACAATAGCGGAAAAAYGTTGGCATCTTGACCTTATGGAGGCAAAATGGTAGGGGAGTGTTTAGTATAAAAATATTGACGAGTGTTAGAGATTTCCTGAAAATCATTTCAGGATGATCCAATGAGAAAAAAAAAAAAAAAATCCTATTTTTTTTTTTTTAATCAATAAATGCTTGAGTAGTCCCAGCTCCATCTGCTCAAGGAAATAACTTCCATGGCAAACATTGCTTCCTGAAAATAAGCAAAATAATTCTTATCCTTCAATTTGGGAAGCCCCGGAGATGTCTGTCAAACTTCACCTGCCATGAAATAATCCTGGGCACAGGGGATGATGTGCTGCAGATGAATGAGATGAATGGAACTTCCTTTTAAAACGTCAGGGTGGCATTTTGGGGGAAAACTGAGAGGAAATTATGGAGCAGTGCTTTGTGTTTGCAGGGGACAAAAAGCAACGAGCTCATTGTAGGACAGCACAGTGAGGGCTGAGATGGGATTAAAATATAACAATAATCCACTAAAATTATTAACAACAGGCTGCTGCTTCAAAGTGACCCCTGACTCTTCTCTTCCTARGAAATAATAGCAATAATACTGACAAGGATTTCAAGGACAGCTTATTAAAGRGGTTTGGGACAGGTTTGGATGTAGATGGAGATAAATGCATTTATCTGCATTTCCTCCTGGTCAGGGCTAAAGGTTGACAAGCCCTGGGGAAATGGAAGCAGGATTCCTGACAAAGACAGCATTTGTGTATTTAAAAAGTGGAAATTATTATTTTTTTTCTAGAGATAGCGCTGAGTGGAAAACAGAAACAATGAGATTTCCTGGCACTTTCTTGGAACGTGTTGCAGCCGCGGGAATTGGAGTGATTTTCCCTTTGAGCCTGGCGTGTGTGAGGGATTTGGGCTGTTCAAAGGGAAGCTGTGAGTGCAGCTCAGATCCCAACTCATCAAAGAACCAGCACAAGCTTCACCGTGCCTGGAGCCCTCAGGAATGTATTTACCTGCAGAAATGTGACTCACGGAACAGCAGTGAGTGTTTGCAGCCATTAGAAGGAGCGTCTCAACTTGTTGAAAAGCCATCCAAAGCGGATCTGTAATTTCTTCCCTGCTAAGAATGTCTTTGAAACCAGCTAAGCCTCTCTGGTTTTGTTTGTTATTGTTTTTTTTTTAATCCTGGCTTTAGAAGGTACTTGATGCTTCCAGCATTAGTGTTTGACTAAAGTGCATTTCTTGGTAATTTTGCAGCCTGTGCTTTGTCATGTGTGGCTGCAGGGAGGATTTCATGGAATGATTTGGGGTTGGAGGGACTTTAAATCCCATCCAGTGCCACCCCAGGGACACCTTCTGCTGCTTGGCTTTTTTTTCCTGGCTGAAGCTGTTCAATTTTATGCATTCTGTAAAACAGCTCTGAGGAAAGAAGCGGAAAGTGCAAAATCCCGAAGTGAGGATGGCAGGCTTGTCTCATCCATCCTAAGAGCATCAGCCCTTCATCTGGAGAGTCCTCTGAAATCCACTCCATCAATTAATGCTCGTCAAAGCCTTGCAGAGTGTAATCACCTCTGCGAGGAAGAGCAGAGAGCACCGCACTGTCACTGCTCATTTCTGGCGCCTCCTGAAAGGAACGAGCCCCACATTCAAACCAGAAAGGGCCACTTCCATCACAGGTCAATTTGGCCTCAAACATCTTTTCCAGCCTAATTCTATGGTTCTGTGAATTAAATAAGCATGGGAATCTCTTCCCCAGAGCTCCCAGCTCACTCCTGTGCTCTGTGCAGCTCTCCTGCTCCTCCTCGCTGTCCCGTTTGTGATTTCCATGGCAGGATCATTCCAAAATCAAAGCCACCCCTCTGGCTGAACCCCCTTGGGCTGCCTGCATTTGTGACTCTGTGAAAAGCTGTCCCTATTTCCAGGACAGGGTATTTATAGCACTGAAGGGAACCCGTGCAGGAGCCCCTCTCTGCTGCGGCTCTGGGGCGCTCGCACCTTCTTGGAAAAGAGAGCTCAGAGCCACACAGGGCTGGGTGCCAGGCAGAGCTGTCCCTGCTGAGCCTGACCCTGTTGAGCCTGTCCCTGCTGAGCGTGACCCTGCTGAGCCGAGCCTGTTCCTGCTGAGCCTGACCCTGTTGAGCCTGACCCTACTGAGCCAAGTCTGTCCCTGCTGAGCCTGTCCCTGCTGAGCCTGACCCTACTGAGCCAAGTCTGTCCCTGCTGAGCCTGACCCTGCTGAGCTGAGCCTGACCCTGCTGAGCCTGTCCCTGCTGAGCCAAGCCTGACCCTGCTGATCCTGTCCCTGCTGAGCCTGACCCTGCTGAACCTGTTCCTGCTCAGCCTGTCCTTGCTGAGTCTGTCCCTGCTGAGCCTGTCCCTGCTGAGCCTGACCCTGCTGAGCCCGACCCTGCTGAGCCTGTCCCTGTTCAGACTGTCCCTGCTGAGCCGAGCCTGTCCCTGCAGACCCTGTCCCTGCTCAGCCACACACGGCCCCAAAGCTCAGTGTGACATTGCCG